CTCGGGCATCTCTTTCGGATGCCTCCTGGGCGCCTTCCTAGGGAGGTGTTCCGGGCATGTCCCACCGGGAGGAGGCCCCGGGGAAGACCCAGGACACGCTGGAGGGACTATGTCTCTCGGCTGGCCTGGGAACGCCGCGGCATTCCCCCGGAGGAGCTGGAGGAAGTGTCTGGAGAGAGGGAGGTCTGGGCATCTTTGCTTAGACTGCTGCCCCCGCGACCCGGTCCCGGATAAGCGGAAGAAAATGGATGGATGGATGAATGGATGTTTTTTGAACATATTCCAGATAGCAACAAGCTTTATGCAAGTCCTTAAGGTAACCTTCATCTGGGCTTTTGACAATAATGCTCCATCATAAAACTAAATATTCATTAATACACAAATTATTTCTGTTAGCTGCTGGACACTAAAAGTGGGGAAACTGCCAACAAAGGTGGCTCTCATGAAACTATCAACTGTGGCTGAAAAGTGAAAGAGACAGAAGGGGTAAACAAAACCCACCCTGTTTAGAGATCAGTAGAAGGTTTCCACGGTGCTAGACATTCACAGCATGTTCCACTGTCAGTTACAGATCGCACTAGTGACAGACTGACAAACTGCTGTGCTGGACCTTTGACAGATTGCAGCGTATGAGCAGGAAATCCGTAAACTGAGAGAGGACTTGCTGAAGGAGATTGGCCACTTGGAGGAGAGGAAGGAGGCGGCTGTGGAGGCCGCCGCCAGCTGCTCAGCGGAACAGTTCCAGAGCCTCCAGGACCAGTTCTTCAGTGAGTTACACCAAATCACTGAATCCCCAGAAACAGAAATCTTACTTCAAGAATATTGTTAAACCAAACTTGACCTTGAGTTTGTTTGTCAGGTTTTCAGAAGCGTCTGACAGCGCTCCCGCCGACTTTACGCTCCATGAAAACAGACTACGCCAGTTTGAGGAGCCAGGTTCGAAACTTCTCAGAGTTTTATGGAGCAGCAATAAATGAAGCAAAAAAACAGGTACATACTCTGACATCACTTTATGACATAAATCTGATCAAATTACAAGCCTAGTAAAGAGTTGATGTTTTATGTGTTTGGCAGATTTCAGTGGCTATCAGTGAGATGTCTGAAGCAAACATAGAGCTGCTGGAGAAATACAGGAAGGAGGTTGCACTGCGCAGAAAGTACCATGAGCAGCTGGTAGAGCTTAAAGGTCTGCAGAGATGAAGAAATAACACTCGCTGCAGCAAACAGAATCTTGACATTAACCGGGCTCGCTCTATGTATTTAGGTAACATCCGCGTGCTGTGTCGTGTGAAGCCTGTGCTGAAGGAGGACCAGCACAAGGAGGACCAGTCTGTGGTAGTGGTGACGGACCCCAACAACGAGTCCTCTCTCACTGTGCTGAGCAAAGGAAAGGGCCGCGTCTTTGAACTGGACAAGGTCTTCCATCCTGAGGCCACACAGGAAGAGGTAGTGCAAATGAACCTCGTACTAAGCAGATAATGTAACAAGGGTGAACTTTAACCTTTTATTTGGTTTGGCCAGGTCTTCCAGGAGATTGAACCTCTTGTGACGTCGTGTATCGATGGCTACCACGTCTGCATATTTGCTTATGGACAGACTGGCTCTGGAAAAACCTACACGATGGAGGTAGAATCTGTCATTTTACAGCATTATTGGAGCAAAAAAGAGTGATGTGAATATTGGTTGTTGTAGTCACTGTACATGTCAGTACAGGCATATGGTCCATGTTGTAGGATGCAGGCTGAGTAACATTTGATTCTTAGGGCACAGCCGAAAACCCAGGCATCAACCAGCGAGCCCTGAAACAACTCTTCAGTGTGATCGAGGAGAGGAAAGACATGTGGTCCTACACAGTCACAGTCAGCTCTGTGGAGATCTACAACGAGGTGCTAAGGTAAGCTACACTTTTCTGAGTATAGGTGTTTAGGCTGCAGTATCATAATTTAGAGGTAAAACATGGAAGCTGTTTTATCGCTCGTGTTTATATTTTGTTTCTCAGAGACCTGCTGAGTAAGGACGGAGAGAAACTGGACATAAAGATCAACCCGGATGGAACAGGACAGCTGCATGTCCCGGGCCTCAGGGTCATCGAAGTTAAGAGTTTTCAGCACATTAAGAAGGTGACACTGTGCTTTAAACAGTCTGTCCTGAAGTGGTTTAACCAATCATTGTCCACAAAATTCATGCTAAATATTTCTGTGTTTGACCAGATTTTAGCTACAGCCCGAAGGAACAGGATCACTTTTGGGACTCAGATGAACCAGCACAGCTCACGCTCCCATGCTCTACTCTGTATCACCGTTCAGGGCACCGACCTCGCCTGCGGCTCCAGAACCACCGGTCAGTAAATCATGCACTGATTCTTCCAACACAGAAGAGTCTAATTTAAATGTAAATGATACTTCCATCTATTAGTCATAATGCTGAATCAAAAGCAGTCTTTTCCAATGGAGATCACTGTGAAAAGCTGAGAGAAAGCAGCATGGAAAAGTGACAGTGACACCTTTAATTAGGATTCAGTCAGGCACATGTGGGTCCAGAGATGACTGGACAATGGATGATGATACTCTGAATTTACTTTTGTTTCCTCAGGCAAGTTGAACTTGGTGGACCTGGCTGGCTCAGAAAGAGTATGGAAATCTGGTGCAGAGGGGGAAAGGCTGAAGGAGGCCCAGAATATTAACCGCTCTCTACTGGCACTGGGGGATGTGATTCAGGCACTGAGGGCTCGACAGACTCACATCCCCTTCAGGAACTCCCGCCTTACGTACTTATTACAAGATTCACTGGGCAAGGGCAGCAAGACTGTTATGGTGGTACAGGTAATATTACTACTCCAAATTTCTAGATTTCTAACATTACAGCTTTAATTTATTCATATACAGTATTTGTAATTTTTTAAAAATCCTTGTTAAGAGCCTTATTTTGTTGCAATCGCTGCTAAAGGTGTCGGCTCTAGAGAGTAACGTGGGAGAGACGCTGTGCTCGCTGAAGTTTGCCCAGAGGGTGTGCAAGGTGGAACTCGGTCCTGCAGCGAGGAAGATTGAATCTGGTGGAGGACAGTGCGACTGACAACCTTGAATCACCAGGGATCCATGAATGCAATCCTGCTCAAGGGCTAAACCTGTAACACCTGTGATCGAGGTCAGGTGTTGACAGTTTTGACCTCCTCCTTTTCTGCTTCTGACAAGTGGTAACCCTTTATCATTAGCTAAAGTGCATGCAGGAGTATTTATTCTTCCACTGAGTGCCAAAACAACCTCTGATTCCCCTACAGTCTGAGATTCGATGCCTCCTTGAACTACAGTCTCCATTTCTTTGTATTAACTACCAAAATCCAGATTTGTATCATATTGTCAGTGATCATCTGTGTTTAGCATAGCATCATATTCCCACAGGTTCAGTAATCATCAGGTGCCAATACTTCAGGTTTTGCAGTAATAATCATCTTGCGATAAATGTCTGTAGTTTGTGAGCTGCATCTCTAGTATTGTAATATTTTTGATGTGTAGATGAACCTGTTCTGTAGCAGAGGTATTAATCATTTCAATGACATTTAATACAAGTTATATATTTATGTAGTTTTTGTGAATTTCAGAAGAGCAGCCACTGTATGCTTAGTTTCTCTTTAGAGCCTTGAAAATTTGCCTTTTGGGAAAAGAGAAGCCGCTGAAGGGAACATGTGTCCTTGTGCTAGAGGGGTAATATAAAGAACTGTGCAACATCCTCCGTATTGAGGAGACAGTTTGGGCCTATGTGGACAGAAAATGCACTTTATTTGGAAATGGTGTTTCAGTTTAGACCAGGTATTTAGGGGCTTGCAATAGATGTCACTAGTGAATGTCAAGCCAAAAACAGCTTAGCTACCTGCTCATCATTGTTCCTCAATTTATCACCTGTTGGATCAGAAGTAACTTTTGATTCAAGTGTAGCAAGACATCAGTGTTGCAGTGACTACTGTAGAACTCTATGGTGACTAGACCTCTTAATAATGATTAAAATTTACTTTCTAGATAAATATGATGCATTTAAAGTTGTTTTTTTCAGTGACACACTGATTAAGAAATAATTTGGTATGCCACAGAACTGCAGTGTTCTTGGTTCAGATTTGCCTGGAGATAATTAATGCACGTTCTCCCACTACAGAAAATAAGTACAAATGGATGCATTTTATTATCCATATTGAACCACCCCTATTTTCTAATAAAGGCAAAATACACAAAAAATAATCAGGAATTTGAAAAATTCACATTATTTTACTTGAATATAAAATATAACAATATTAATGACTACATTAACAATGCACCTTAATAAACCACATACACAGAATGTACTACCGATGTATTCATGTGTAATAATGACGAGATGAATTGGACCCGAGGGAAGCGATTAAAACAACGTTCTCTCTGAGCACAACACAGATGTGACAGTACAGTCCAAGTAAAGTCCCGCTGTCCTTGTGGGGTTCCACACTTTTGCTGTCCTCTTCTTTTTGTGTGTGTGTTTTTTTTTTAACGGTCACCTTTTAGACTCAGTCGGAATCTCCCTCCTCTGCTCCCACTGCTCCCACAGCTTCGGCCAACTCTGCCTCACTGCCTCGCAGACGATCCCCTGGGCAGACACAGACACTCAGTCAATCTGATTCATTCACTCTTTCACTAGTTAACCTGTAACCATGTATCCCTGCTGCCAACAGAATAGTCCTGTGCATGTCCTACCCACAGATTTACAGGCTGCAAAGTTACTTCTGATGCAGAGGAAATAACCAGAGTTCTTTACCGTAGTAGTAAATACAGCCCATTGTCTTTTATTTTGTATCACATTATAGATGGAATACTGTCTGAACCTGCACAAAAGACTAAGACCAAACTGAGAGGGGTAACTGTATAATCTGTTTAATGTGAATAACTTAAGCATTTTAACTGGTTATGGTTAAGTACACACATTAACAACAAAAAAAAAAGCATGCCCACCTGAAATTGTAATGCATGTAAATAAAAGCAGTGAGTAATCAGTGTCACAAATTGGGAAACCCAATTACAGTTAAACCTGTTCTGTGTGCTCCTGAAAGCTCATGCCTATATTTAGAATGTGGATCATACATCAGTGAAAGAATCGCACCCCTAATGTTATCAGACGCCTTCAATCCCCCGCAGAGTCTGGCAACCACAAAGCAATTAGCCTAATGATTCACGACTAGCTCAGGCACTGGTGTCTCTGCGGCATCAGGAAATTCTGTGATAAAACATCAAATAAGAAATACTAACGGATGAGCTCAGCAATGGCTCTCTGTGTTCTCCTCTCCAGCTTTTCCAGTTTCTTTGCAACATCACGCTTTAGATCCCTGGATGGAGTATCACAATGAAAAAGAACAACAATCAACTTTCATTATGGCAATATTTTATGTACCATACAGGTTTGAAAATGGTCCAAAAGGTCTTACCAGTCTGGTTTTCTCGGGGCGAGGTTGGCCAGATCCTGACAGAAGAAAATAGCTGAATACAGCAACCACTGATGCAACAACAAATAAAATCACATTTATGCAGAAAATTACTCACAACTTCTTCAATGATGGGCTCTGGATTTGCTGCTTCTAGCTGGTCTTTTACTTTATCTTCCACTGCAAGCAAATACAGTTTGTCACCACCATAAATGATGTATGATAATAGCAGCAGGAGCAATACTCACAGGGTGCTATCAAGTAGCTGTGGGCACTCCAGCAAAAAGGAAAGGTAATGCCAAAATATGTGAGTTGGAGAAATTTTTTTTCAAAGCTTGTATACGATTGAGAAACTCTCACCTGATGCTGGTTTGGCTTTGGGCACCTGCCTTTCCTTCAGCTCTTCATCCTCTGGGGTGTAATTCCTCAGCTTCAGCTCTCTGCATACAGGAATACAGAGTAAAGCGAGTCTACTTTTAGTGGTATGAGTGGTAAACAACACATTCTCAGCTACCACACTCTTGTGACAGTCCAGGAGGTGGCAGTGTAGGTAAATGTATTCCAGCTGCCATTAAGGAGCATAAAAGACCATCTGCAGACCCTGTACAGCTGCACATCTGATGCATGGAGGAGGTTGGGTATAATGCCCCTCTTTATTCCTATGAACAAGTCTAATTAACATGTTCCACCTGCTCCTGGGAATAGACCTGAGGAGAGCAGCAAACAGCTGAGGAATGCCTTCCTTGATGTTGAATTACGCCATCTTTTATCACGTCCCTGCACAGAGGAACTCTTGGAAACTTTAGCTGACCTCTGTGCAGATTATACAGAATATCCAAAGGCAGAGGTAAACTATTGTGTGGCCACGCACATACCAAGAGCATTATCAGCTGTTGTCAGCTTAACATGGATTTGCGATTAAGCGCAAAGGCAGTGCACTCTTTGATACATTCATCACACCCCCTGCTGCCAACGGACAGACCGATTCCTTGTATGGGTACGGGCAGGAATCCTAGTCATGTTCTCTGCCTCCTGAATCTCTCCCAAAGAGGCTGTTTCAGAGGGGGAATATATTTCTCTATCCATCTCACCATTAAACTGAATTCTCGCCTCTGACCATGTATGCATCCTACTTTCAGGCTCCACAAGTGGCTCCGCTGTTTGGCCATGGACTTTTGGTTTATGTCACTGCCCTGCTCTATCTCTCTCTCCACTCATTTTCTGTCAGCTCTCTACAATAAACTCTATATTAAAGGCGTTCATCATCACCAACAGGGCTGCTTCTCTGGAAAGCATGGATATGTTTAGCAAATCCTCGAGCTACATTATGCAATATAATGTAAAACTTGATGGAACAGTGGTGCTAATGCAAACCAAAGACAAGTTTCAACGCCAATAATCACTTGACGCCATCCTTGTTGGTAAACGTCAAGATATCTCATTATAAACTAAAGTAAAAACTGGCGCATGGATAAAGAAAAACATCATCTCAGAGTAGTTATCACCACTCAAAGGACAAAACACAGGATAAACAGAGTGTACGTGTAAACTTTCTGCCATCCAAGGCTGACAAGGCCTTTTAGTTCGAGGCGTGTAAATGTTTAGAGTGCGTTTACAGGTTTCTACTTCAAGCACACTGGGGCATCAAAGGAGCCGGTGATTAATTTCAGGGCTCTGACCCAAGTACGGCCCTCTCAAAATGTTTAGAGTGAGGAGGAGGCGCAGCAGTCTTCAAATGTTTACACTGAAAAGAAGCTACCTGTCCTGTTCTCCATAAACATAAGCCCAGCTTTTTCATGTACACATGAGCAACAGAGATTCAGAGTACTAACATGCAATAACATATAACAGTTTTATCTGCCATTTCTAAGAATATGAACTCATCTATCTTTGAAAACGCAGCACCTCTAACACAGTTGCATGACACTGATTGGTTCCTGTTGTGGAACAAGCTCAGAGGAACGCACAACCCACAGAGAAGAAAACCTTTATCCACAAGATCGGTTTATTTTGGCATGTTAAACTTCATTGGCTTTCATTAATTTAAACATAACTTAAGAAAAATATGCTGATTGTTTTGTTCTCTCATCCCTTCGTTTGGAAATCTGATCTCCCATGAAATTTTAATAATAACCACAAGATACTGACACCTGGTTACGAATGTGTGCCTTGACTTGACAAAAACAAAAAACCCCTCTTTTCTCTCTTCACAGACAAATGTCTAAATTAGGTTTGTAAAGTCGGCTGCTATTTTCACTCTCATGAGAGAGATCTGGCCTGTTGGACTGGAGGAAATACAGTGGCACTCCCTCAGTGCCACCAGTGCACAATCATTAAATATAAACAATGGAAAAAAAGGTCCTGTAGGACAGGAAAGATGGCTGCTCCTTCCTTCTGACTAACACAGAAAGCTGAGTGAGCTACAGGATATTTGAGCAGCTAATAGCATGAGACTGATCCAGCATAGTGTAAACACTGCATCTCATGACCTGCACTGACACAGGCACTGGGTTACAGAAAGATGGTGTTCAGATTAAGGGCAGATAAATGCTCTGATGATGAACTTCCATAGCAGTTTCAGTTCCGTCTCTGCAGCTTAAAAAAAACAAAAACACCTCAGCTAAAGCAGCGAACAACAGTGAGTGATGGTTGAAGAAACCATGACGTGTTTATAAAAAAGTACAAAAGCCAACCTGTGCCTCTCCTCTGCAGTCTCTTCTAGTGAAGCTTTTTTCTTCTCTGGCTCATCATCTTCCTGCTCTCGCCCCTGTTAGAAGATCACACAATCATTACAGTAAGGTGAATTTACCATATGGTGTTGTCACTAAAGAACAGTGCAATTTGATCTATGAACCAGCTGCAATTACAGTAGTTACAAGTCATGTTGTATTCTGTGAATTAAAAAAAAAAAAATTAGTAAGAATGAAATAAAAAGAACTTAAGCTTATGTTTATGGCATTTTTGTTCTTATAAGAGTCTTTGCACAAAGACTGACATGAAGTGTGGTGGTGGTGAGGGGGGTGGAGACAAAGACTACAAGATGACCCCCAAACAAGTCTGTTAAAGTGAATATATGCACCAGTTCTTTTTAGACCTGACACAAAGGTATACACATTTGTCCAACATTCATCTCTTGCTTGCCGAGTCATCATTTGGGAGTCAAATAACACATTTGCATTTCCAGCGTGATCATGATTGGCACTGTGCCATTTGAGAACTTGGAAAAACTAAACTAAGCATCAGAAAAACTAACATGCTACCAAAACAACCACAGTATTTCAGACTGGCCAACATTAATCTAACCATGCAACCAATGAGAAAACCAAATGATGGCACAGCCATGCAGAAAGTCAGAAAACAACAATCATGACCCCATGTCAAACATTTACCAAAACACATTGGACCCCTCCCATCTTACATTTTCCTGAAGAGGCTTCCTGTCTACCTGCTATAACAATTCAGGGGACTGACTCCTTCTTGACGTGCAGTACAAAGGGAAGCAACCTCCAGACCTGAGAATCTCAACAGTCGTTTCTCAAACATTGCTAGCCAAGCCAGTATTCTTCCATTCATCACCAGCTTTAGTGAAACACTTTCTTTTCTAAGTGCCAAAACAACAGCACACACAGTGAACGGTGTTTCCTGTTTCAAGACGATTTCACATTCTGAACTGACTGACTGACTGCCATAATACTGCAGAATAAATGTGCTGGATTTCAGTGGTTCAACATGAACAGCAGCAGCCCTGAAACATGGTGCAATGACCTGCTCTCCAGCAGAATATGTGGGTCAGCACCTGTTTGTGTTGATTTGAAAATCCAATATTGCACGATTATCATGGGCAAAATACCTCGGCATACAACGTCATCTTGATAATAATTGATATGTTACAGTACAACAAAGCAATAAACGAGATAAAAGACAATAAGAACAGGGAAAACACAAAGTGGCAGAGAGTAGCTAACAGCTGTCATATGAAACAATATTTAATTGAAACGCCAGCCGGAAAAGATAAGTATTGACAGCAGCCTTAGACTCTGTGATGGTACAGTAGTGTCGGATGTCTGGAGGGAGCCTCCATAATACTAGTAGTATTACAACACATAGTAACACATAGTAGTGTCGGATGTCTGGAGGGAGCCTGTCCCAGAGCCTCGGCGCAACGTTACAGAATGCCCTAGCACCCATAGTGCTAAGGCTGAATTTCAGCACTGAAAGCAAACCACTGAGGCGGATCACAGTGAGCACATGGGAGTGGAGGGTGAAAGATGAACCAGCTAAACAGGTTTAAGGCTGTGAAGGGCTTTAAATGTTAACAGCAAGATTCTGAACCAAACATGGTAATATACCAGGACTCAATGACACTGGATGAGTATGAGAGTAATATCTGCAGTTAATTTTGACCACGTCTCTTGCTGTGGAATTCTGGATTACTTGAAGCCTGTGAAGGAGTTTCTTAGGGATGCCAGATAAAACAGAATTACTATAATCAATGCGAGATGTTACAAAAGCATTGACCATGACCTGAGTGCTCACCTGACAATGTTACATAAAATGATAAAATGAAAGAACGCCACACAAGAGATGTTATTTATGGGAGCACTAAAAGAAAACCTGCTGTCCAAAATAAGACCAAGGCTCTTTACCTGAGGGGAACAAGACAAAACACAGCCATCAATGGCAAGAAAATAGCTTCTCATTTTGGAAAGTGCTACTTCAGACCCCACAGCTAGCATCTCTGATTTATTAGTGTTCAATCTGAGGCAGTTGTTAGCACATCACAGTCTTACTGTTACATCACTACTTCCCCCATCAACAATTCAGCAATTTGATTTTGATAAATACCTAAAATCACACCTGGTTCAGTCGCACTGTGGCCCTTAAGTTAAATTTCACTGACAGAAAAATGTCAGGCCTATTCCTTTCAGTTTGTTTCATTTGATGTAAGGGTCAGAAAAATAGTAGAGGATAAAAAAATGGGTCGAGTTGTGCAGAAAAGAACTGCAGCGCTATTTATTGCACCAAACGCTTGTAAGAAGTGCACAATAGATAACAGATTCCCTGATATCCTTACACTCCTCATACCACTTCACAAATTTACCAATGTTCCCATCTGAAAACCATCACTCCATGTCCCATTATATAGTGAACAAAAGACGTTTCTCTGAGCTCTCATCCCGGCAGCCTTTTCTATCCTGTACCTGTTTGTAAGCAAGATGATGAGGCCATATGTGTTAAATACTGTACATCAACCGAGGTCTGCAGAGAAGCATTAGGATTTAAGTACCTATGAGGTTCACAGGTTTATTTGGAACCTGCTGTTTCTGTTTGAATAAAGGATGGCAGAGGATCTAGGCAGCGTAATGGTGGCAATTAAAGTAGCTGACATCTGTAGTAGGTGAAGCTGATTGTGTTCAACCAGAAACTGGGGTTTTCACGTTGTAGTTAAAACAGCATGCTACTTGACACCTGTAGCCTACATGAGTTAAAAACAGTGCGCTGTTGTTGTAAACAGCCACGAATCCTAATTAATTTAATCAGATAACGTTAAGATTCAACTGGTTACGACATCATAACACACATGACTAGCGATTAATTTCTCTTAAAAAAGAAATACATATAAGATAGCTTCGCAAAATAGCCTCATAGGTAAACCACATATTTTAAGAACAAAGGCACTGTAGCAAGTAAACATGGACTTAACCATGTCTGAATTAAATGTCGAAACCTATATCTTCTCACAGCACATCAACAAAACATTAAACCAAAGTTAAGGCTGACTTAACCATAACACAAATATGCTAACGTTAGTAACAAGCTATGTCGGCTAACGTTACCTCACTATCAAAATAACGCATTTTCTGTAGACTGATGCATTTATAAGAAACAGGTCATAACCAGACAAGACGCTTACATGAAGTTGTTTATCTCTTAGTGCTTTTAGTCTCTCTTTTCTCTTCAAGGCCTGCTCCTGAAGTGATCCAACATTACGCTCCATAGTTGTCCCTGCACGCCACTCAATTCACTCAGTTCGTTCTGAAATCCATTAACGATCCTGACTGAGGATGTAAAAACGACCGTCGTTCACATCGATTTCAGTGGCCTGTTGCCTAATCAGGGGATATTTTGTTTGACAAATTTCTCCGAAATCATTATTTTTAAATCGCAATTGAAACACGATTATATATAAATATCTAAATTCTGTTTACATCTATTTAGCTTTTTCAAATCTTACACAATTTTTTGATGTGGCCTGTGTTGTATGCATTGACATGTGGATTAATGCTTGAATCTATGTAAATTATTCTTCAGTAGATCATAAGCTGGTTTAAAGCCTACCTGAACCTCTTAATAGACCATTAACAGACCTAAGTAAATAAAGGTCACACACAGGACAGACTTGCACACTGACTCACCTGTTGAGGGCTGCCCTCAGGAATGTAGGTCATTGGTAATTAAAACAGCTACCAAATGTTAAATATCATGACAACACTAATAAAAAAAACTACCCATTTGTAATGCTTGTGAGTGGCCCATCAAGAGACAAATTAAGTGCTACTAGATTAGGCTACATGCACATGTGTCTGATGTGCATTTTTCTGAAATTTCTAGTAAATAAAACTTTATATGATATTTTTCATATATAAAAACATAGTCAACATATGATAAAGTCATAGAATATGATGCATCAGAGTCAGAGAAACACATCATTAACTACCACAGTCCAGTTGCACAAAGTAAACCAGCACAGCTGTTTTTATTGCATGTCTTATTAAATAACAATGCATTTTTAGAGAAATGAAATTCTTTTGAACTACAGGGGTAAGTATGGACTTAGCCAAAACACCACGAGCACAACTTAAAACATCCAAATATTTCTCTTATAAATTAATGCATCTTCAAATAAAACTTTTCAGGGATGTACTTACTATTCCTCTTGATGAGTGTTTTTACTTCTAACACGTGTACCTTTTTGTTGCTTATTTGCACATTGTTACTGGTGTAATACAATGAATGCAGCAGTTATTTAGTTATTTTCCCATTTTTTCCCATGTTTGCTCTGTATACAGTGGGTACGGAAAGTATTCAGACCCCCTTAAATTTTTCACTCTTTGTTATATTGCAGCCATATGCTAAAATCATTTAAGTTCATTTTTTTCCTCATTAATGTACACACAGCACCCCATATTGACAGAAAAACACAGAAT